ACCTAGATCAGTTGCATTAACATCATTCCTCCCCACAGCATCTTTGAGATGAATATAGTTCTCAGTTCTTAGCTGTTTCTGATGATTCCTAATAAAATTCAACCTTTCAGTTTCAATTTTTGCGTATATATCGACCAAAAATTGACTGAAGAGGGAGCGGAAGTATACAATATGGTTAACTTCATCTTGCCTAATCATAATTCGGTAAGCATAAAAGGATGCCGCAGAAACTTTTTTTTCAAGAGGCAATTTCGTAGTGGGATTACACAATGGTATGTCAATAGAGTATCCGTCCTCGCCATGGTAAAACATAAGTGGATACTGCAGAGCGTCGTACGCTCGATGAATTTCACTGATACGCTGTAGTTTATTATCGTGACTTTAAAGTACGATGTCTCTATTTTCAAATTGCTGACTTCCAATTATTAGAGCTATTTCATTTTGTGTTGGTGCGTTAAAGCGACCAACATGAGCATTAGTGGGTTTTCTGTCTGCACGGATGACCACTTTAAATTCTTTACAGTTCTTTTGCACCGCATTAATCGTGGTCTTAAATTGTTTGACATAACTGTTTTTTTCATGGAGCATGCTTTGCAATTGTTTGACCAACCCTGATTTGACGTCAGGAAAATTGGCGCACCTTGAGCGTACTTCCCTCTCATCCTCACCTACAAAATATATTTGTAAAAATTGGGCATTCTGATCAGGTTTATGCATGAGACTCCCTACCAAATGATACACTTGGCCTTGAACTTTGAAAGTAGGCATAAATCCTTCTGTTACAATTTTTTTAGCCCCAAATGATGTCATTAGAAAACACCCATTGTATTTTCGTATAAGGTCCATAAAATGATTATGATGGGGGTGTCTGTCCATAAGCAGGCTGTTGAGAGGTTCCGGCAAATGTTCAAAAGATGGAAGCTGCATTTTGCCATTTTTGCAGCACATTCCGGGGGTTTCTTCTTTCCATTTTAGAGCATTGCAGTATTTGCACTTGTGGTTCATAGAATCAAGAGCTATAGTTTTTTCTGCCTCATAAGCCAGGTCAGGATTGTACGTCATTCCTGAGTTGACCATTATTTTNTAGTATGCTCATATCGAGACCTAGCAGCTCTGCCTACCTCAGGATTATCTAGCTGGTACCTGGCAACTGCAGATCTGTTCACTAAAGGATTACGAGGTGCATATGTCTTTGCCGCGTTTTGAAGTTGTTTTTTTCTTATATTGCCAGTGTATCTGGCACGGCGTTTTCCACCCTTCTTCAGGGATAAAGATAAAGGTGATTGCTGTAATGTGGAGTCTCTCTGAGGGATCAATATTTCTGACTCATTAGGCAGGTAGACATCAAAATGGCCCCTAGAGAGATTTTGCGTAAAACGCATCCTCAACACAGGGTAACCTTCAATACCAAAACGCTCATAGAGCTGATTATTGCGGTAAACTTCAAAAACGTAGTGGAACAATTGTCCAGCGGCCACCAATTCACATAAACCACCATAAGTATATAATTGAGACATGTCAGCAAAATACTCAGCGGAACTCATATAGTTGTCCCCATTGTTGTCGTGAGACATGATAGAAAACTCCGTCCAATTTTTTGTTACGTGGCTCACAATAAGCTTGCGTATTTCTCTGGCCATTTGCTCAGTTCCGTACATAAGATAGGAGAGCGAATTAAATAAACAGGCACCATCTCCTGTAATAGGTACAACGATGTGAGATACCATTTCCCCATTCACGTTTAAAAACTCGATTTTTAATGAAAAAAGTTTTATAATTAAGTGATCAATTCAGTTAACGCCAATTTATATAAACTCACGCGGTTTGTATTTCGTGTATATTAATCAAAATTTACTTTTGAACGCCGTTTTATACAGACGTACGCGGTTTGTAATTCATGTACCTACCCCACGAAAATAACAAACCGAATTTTATGTGCTAAAAAGCCGACGTAGACCAAACGGTTTTCAAGGCGTNGTTTTATAATTAAGTGATCAATTCAGTTAACGCTAATTTATATAAACTCACGCGGTTTGTATTTCGTGTATATTAATCAAAATTTACTTTTGAACGCCGTTTTATACAGACGCACGCGGTTACATAACAAATGTGCTAAAATAGCATAAATAACAAACCGAATTTTATGTGCTAAAAAGCCGACGTAGACCAAACGGTTTTCAAAGCGTTTGCGACAATTGCGCGTTTACAGGTCACTCGCTGTTGCAAATGATTAAGCAACAAAATTGTAAACCAACCACAGTTCACAAAACCTTTTAAGTACATAAAGATTTAAAAAAAATGTTCGTTTTATAAACACAACAATTTACTGTCGTGTTATGTCGTGTGTGTCTGTATATTAATCAAAATTTACTTTTATACAGACGCTCGCATTTTGTTATTCATGTACCGCACGTAAATAATCAAAATTTACTTTTGAACGCCGTTTTATACAGACGCACGCGGTTTGTAATTCATGTACCTACCCCACGAAAATAACAAACCGAATTTTATGTGCTAAAAAGCCGACGTAGACCAAACGGTTTTCAAGGCGTTTGCGACAATTGCGCGTTTACAGATCAATCGCTGTTGCAAATGATTAAGCAACAAAGTTGTAAAATAATCACAGTCCACAACACCTTTTAAGATTTTAAAAAAAAATTTCGTTTTATAAACACAACAGTCCGCACGAAAATAACTAACCAAACTCCAATGTGTTAAGAGGCGTTAATAATCTGTGAAGCTCACGTCGATCAAACAGTTTTNTTGCAAATGATTAAGCAACAAAGTTGTAAACTAACCACAGTCCACAACACCTTTTAAGAATGTAAAAAAAAATTTCGTTTTATAAACACAACAGTCCGCACGAAAATAACTAAGCAAACTCCAATGTGTTAAGAGGCGTTAATAATCTGTGAAGCTCACGTCGATCAAACAGTTTTCAAAACGTATTCGAATAAATACGTGTTTAATAGCCGCAAGATGCAATGGAAGTGAAATATGTCAGACGACAGCGGCGACAACGATGACAACGGTGACTGATCGGTCAATGGTGGGGGTGAGTAGGGCCGACGGAGTTGTAGGCAGCACGTATTCACCATTTCGCGTTATCTTTGTACTTTGATCGTCTACCGCCCGTACCTATTGTGTGTTGCAATCGCGGGTCACCGATAACTTCGACTATAGGCTATATATAATTGATTGTTATTATTCAATTGTGAATTCCACGTACTATTAGCACTATTAATAGACTGAACAGCGATTAACAGCTGGAAAAAAATACATATATATAGCTACATAAAATGTATACAAACTTTTAAAAAAAACCCCTTTTACCCCCTTAGAGTTCGAATTTTGAAAAATCCTTTCTTAGTGCGCCCTTACATTGCTTAAGGAACCTCTGTACAAAATGTCAAGTCTCTAGACCCAGCGGTTTGGTCTGGGCGTTGATGAGTGAATAGGGGTTGTCTCCTATATGTATATAGATTAGTACTTGTTATATAGTCCCTAATAGTGATTTAGTGATTTATTCACATTATTTTGAACCCTTTCATCTTTATACTGAGGTAGTTCCATAAAATATTTGTTATTAGGTGATTTTAATTCAGGTGTTTAAATCAGGTGTATTTTTATCATCAGGGAATAATGGCTTAATGTTTCGTGGAGTACTAAATGGCCGAAATTTCAGGAAATAATTTTTAAGTCTTATCAGATGTAAATCGCAAAAGTTCAATAAAATATTGTATTAAAAATTTTAGTAACAAAATATTCATGTAATGTATTAATGTGTCAGATTATTTCGATTGTAACAATCATAACTTTCAGCCCAGTACTAAGTAGCATTGATTTATAATCAATGAAAGTACCTTATTCTGGTGTGCGGTATTGCTGCATTATCAAAATTTGAATTTGTACTATCCAGAATTGATTACATTTTTGTAATCAATTTCCCCACCAATAAAATGGTTGGTTTTTATCGTATAGTTTTTATTGCTTTTATAGTTATTCAGTTATTCTATTTCATTATTAATTTTGTGAAAACAGTTAAGACTATTACAAAAATTAAAATTTTGTAATAAATTTCTTATTCTTGTTTTTAATTGATTGAATTGGGGAATTTAACATTGAGAAAATACCCAATCCCCCCCCTCAAAAAAAATATCTTTATACACCCCTGTATGATGCTATGGAATACAATGATGTTAATCAATTAAATATTTTTCAAATTGTTTCCAGATCTCAGTTAAGACTTCATATTTTCTAATATTACATATTTATCGGTTTCTATAGCAGACAAAGTTCTTATCACTCCTGATAAATATCATTTTGTTTTGAGTTTGTCTTATGATTATTATAATCCAATAGTAAATATACCCACATATAATATCTCAGATTATAATTTCAATAAAGCTTATTAATAATGATTTATTGACTAGAATGTTACTTAATGTTGATTGGAGTTATTTGTATAATAAGTCTAACATTAAAGAAGCTATAGACTTCTTTTATTGTAAAGTTTTGGATATTATTTAAATTTACAAACCTAAGAAAAGTAAATGCAGGCAGTTCACACCCTCTCTTGAGCTTCGTGAGTTACTAATAGAGAAAAAGGAAACTCATAGAAAGCTTAAAAATTTTGGTAATAATTTAGATTGTATACATTTTTCCTATTTACATGCTCTTTGTAAAAAAAAAAGTCAAAATTATGTTATTCTCAGTACTTAACCAATATTAAAATTTCATTAATTAAGAATCTTTGCTCAATTTGGAATTACATAAAGAAATCTAAAACTAGTAGTGACCTTCTGAATAGTATGTCATATGAGGGTAAGCGTTCTGATGAGCCATTAGTTAATGCTAATTTTTTTTTTCTATTTTCCCTTTGTTTCCAAAAAAGTTTATTTTTTTAAATCACTTATGCCACTTATTTTATCAACTGCTGTTTTTATGTTTTAACTCAACCGTTTCATTACCTTTTTCACTTTCATTAAAAACTGGTGAATTTTCTTTGAAATGGAAATCTTTGTGATTCCAATCTAGAAATCTGGTGACCGCTCTATTATTAACAATTATAGACCAATATCAAAATTAAGTACCTTATCTAAGTTAATTGAAAAACTGATTGTAGTGAAGATGTCAACGATTTTCAGTAGTTTATTAATGAATAAACAACATGGATTTTTTACTGAAAAATCTATTAATATATTGTCATTTTTAGTGAATGAAGTGTCATGTGGTAAACAAGTTGATGTAGTATGTACAGATTTTAAAAAAAATATTTGACACTGTTGACCACAATATATTAATTGGTAAGCTTAAGAAAATTGATACATATGATCCGTTTTTACCGTAGCTTCATTCTTATTTGACAAACCTAGACCAAATAGTAAAAATTGGCAGTTCAGTATCCAAACTAGTCTTGGTATCATCCAGAGTACCTCAGGGAAGTCATCTATCACCTTTACTCTTTTTGATTTTTATAAATGATGTCGGTAAAATGTTCAGACATGTAAATGGTAAATTTTCACTTTTTGCGGTTAATTTAAAGATTTATTTGAGTTTGTTAAAATACTTACAATTTTCAATCTAATTTGAACTGTTCGGGTGACTTTTGTTCAGCTAATGATCTTTTCATTAATACTTTGAAATATTTCTTTTTGTTGTCACCAATCTCTTATAAATTTAAGTTCTTGATACATAGTGAAGAGATTATTCAGGTCCATCAAGTTCACGATTTAAGCATTATTTTTTAAAATGACCAAAGTTTCAATACTCATATCGATTCAATTCACACAAGAACATTAAGAGTACTTGGCTTCAAAAAAGAAATTGTGCCAATTTTAAGGTTATAAAATATTTTACTGTATTTTGCGGTAAATATTATATAAAACAAATTTTCAACATCAATCAGTCATAAACTAATAACTATAATATATATCAGTAGTAAAAATCGGTTTTACTTATAATAAGTAAATGATATGAATGAAGTTCAAGTAAATAACTCATGCATTTATTTATTAAAAGAACTATTCTACTTATTAACCTATCATTAGGCGCGTGCATATGTGTTGCACAATGCGACAAAAAGACGAGTTGAAGTTATAATATGGATAACTATAAATAGATAGTATTTTGAGAAATTATTAATGATTGAGAAAATCTGTGTTTATATTATTACAAAAAGGTATGTAAATTAAAAAGAAATAATAATTTTCATATTTAACCAAAATTTAAAATAAAGAGGGTCTTCGAACTAATTTATGTTTTAACTAGATGTCCGTACCTTCATACTGGGAACCACTGTATTAAACATATTAAAACTATAATGTAATTTTAATTCTCCTAAAATTTATCATGTATTTTGTTTTGTATGTTTTAATATAGTATTTGTATATTGTATTTTATAGTAAAAGTCGTGATCAAGAAAATAATGAAAGATTTCCAAAACTATTAATTCAATCACTCAGACAAGCAACTGTGGGTATGAAATCATTTCTAGATGCTGTTGAACATAGTCAAGATGTGGATAAAGTTGTTAAATTACAAAAATCATTAGAACAAATTAGGTAATATTCTTTTTTAAATTAAATTATTATTTCAGAATATCAAATTTAAAAACTTGTTTAATAAATAATACATTTATTAGGTTAGGATTTAATGTTAGTTCATTTTTACCAACATCAGAAACTAAAGAAATAGAAGTATCATATAAAGATCTCATGGATAATATTTCAAAAATGATTGACAAAATAATTTCAAAAAAAGGTAATTATATATTGTATGGTTTTAAAATTAAATGCCCCAATACATATTTATCAAATTTATAGACAATAAAGAAGATGAAGCTGAAGATGAACTATCATATGAGACTTTAATCGGAGTAAGTAGCTAATCTTACACTTTATATTATTAGATATTAATATAATTTAAACATTAATATGTTAATAGGATAGTATAGAAAAATTAAAAAAGGTGGTATCAGATTTTATGGATAAAGTTAATCGAGCCTTTAAAGATACATATGGGTCAAAACATTGTAAAAAAGAAGACCGTAGTGAAAATGATGACTTAAGTCTTAGATCTGAAGTGTTGTCAAGCATATTGAACAATGATGAACAGATACTACCAGACTCTTTACTTAAATTATCAAAAGCAATAAACCATACTGGTGAATTAAGTTATATTTTTAACAATTCGACTCAAGAACCAGAATATGAAGTTATTGTCAAACCTGAAGAAGCTGGAGGTATTACGATTTATAATTTGTATACAGTGGTTAATTTTCTGTAAGACATTCATTTTTTTAGAAAAAAGCAATTCACTTATTTGATTTAAATCAGTTTATTGCATTCGTAATTGTTGATATACCACTACAAGTTTTGCTTTTTTGCTGTGGCTTGTGGGTAGTCAGTAGTGGAGCACTATTAATAAGCTACCATATGATTGGTACTCCTTACAATCTATATCTCTAATATTTTAAAATATATATGTCACCCAGTATATTGAAACGTCATATATTACAAACATTTTTCACTGTAATTAACAAACTCGTTTATTCATTAATTTATTATTTTAAATTTATAAATAAATAAAAGTTCATGTTTGACAATTATAATTTAAAATTAAAATATTTTGTGTCCCTATGTTTCTTGAAATGTTTTCTTTTTTACAGTTTTTGATTTGGTTGATACGCTTTTGGATGATTCACATAAATACATTTATGAAAAAGAAAACAATTTACATCCAACACTGTTGAAAATGGTTACAAAAGACATTCAAATACTTCAAAAAAGTTTACCTGCAGGAATCTGGGTGAAAACTTTTGAGAATCGCATGGTAAATTATTATTAAATTAATACGAAAATTCTGAATTATATTTTAATTTTATATTAATATTTTAAAAAGTTTGAAAATAATTGTTACTTTTGTTATTATTTTGTTATTCTTATTATAGGATTTATTTTCTGTAATGATCAGAGGACCAGAAAGAACACCATATGCTGGTGGTTTGTTTATGTTTGATATAAAGTTACCACACACTTATCCACTCACACCTCCACTGTGTCATTATTATAGTTTTTGTGATGACAGATTAAATCCAAATTTATATGAAGATGGAAAAGTCTGCCTTAGTCTTTTAGGCACTTGGTCTGGTCATGGTGTTGAACTGTGGTCACCTAGGGACTCTAATTTATTGCAACTTCTAGTATCAATACAAGGTGGTACAAATTAATTTTGTTAATTAGTTAATTTTGCTAATGTGTTGTTATATTTTAGGACTAATATTGGTTAGTGAACCTTACTACAATGAAGCTGGATTTGATTCTCAGCGAGGTCAAAAACTGGCAAAAGAAAATTCTCGTGTTTACAATGAAATGGCTCTAATCAAAGTAGTTCAATCAATGACAAATATGTTGAAAATGAATTATTTGTAAGTTACATCATTCATCTTATTGTAACCTTAATATTTAAAACAAGATTCTTTATAATTTATATTATATTATAAACATGGGAGGGATACTTAAGGCAAATCTCTGTGTAAATGGTCATGATATCTATACCCACTAATGCTACCATAACTTACCAAATTTATTTTTTATATCAATTGATGTGTATAGTTAAAATATATATTTGTTCCATGAACAGCTAAATAATGTCCAAACTTAGCAATCTTAATAATCTTATTACTGTTAATAAAATTGATTGCCACGGCGGTTTAGATAATGCATATATACAAGGTGTGACAGAAAAGTAACGAGACTTTTCAACATAAGCTAAACTATTTACGTTACCTATGAAGTGATTATTGAAATATGATTAGGAAACTTTTACCTAAGAGTTTTATCAGTATTTATAATTGTTATTAGTGTGTGTTTGTCTATTTTACCTGAAAATATTAGATTTAACAACTTGTTAACATTAAATTTCTTGTTAAATTAAAAAAAAAATTGCCTCGGAATCGTTTCGAATGTTAACTGAAATTTATGGTGAAGAATGCTTTTCTTCTTTTCATGAGGTCGCGTTTTTGAATGGCACAAAAAGTTTAGTGGTGGAAGAGAGATCGACTACCATCGTATTGGGCATTCTACCACATCAACAAATGAAACCATTGAAAAATCAACAAAATTATTTGGCAAGGTCATCGATTAAGTGTTAGAACTGTAGTAGAGATGATTAATATTGATAGAAAAGTGTTCGTAACATTTTAGTTTAAAATGTATGTATGAAAAATTTGTATGCTAAAATGGTCCCTAAAACTGTATCAATGAATCAACTATATTGGCTGAAAAAAATATTTCTGAACTATAACATCTCCCTACTTGATAGACTTTGCGCCTTGAAACGACTTCCTATTAACAAAAATTAAAAGTTCATTTAAAGGAACCCATTTTCAAACGGTTAATGATGTCAAAATGAAAACTCCAGAACTTCTGAAAGGGTTTATTGAAACTGATTGGCAGCACTGCTTTCATGAATGCCAGCGATGTATGGAACAGTGTGTAATTGCTGAGGGAAACTTTTTTGAAGGTGATAATCATTAATTTTCTGTCACACCTGTCGTAGATCTATAGTCAACTAATTTAATTTTTATAAAATATTACTACTTGCCTAGACATTTAGTTAAATGCCTAAACATTTAACTAAATACCTATTTCAAGTCAGGCAAATAATAAAAATGAAATGTTTTGTACAATTTTAAAAACTAAACTGTATTTTCTTATTAATTATTGCTATGTTATAAATTTGCTACAGCTGGTTTGTAACACCAATTTTGTAATATACCAACTGCTGTGCTAACTTGGTAAACTTGGTAGCTGATAGATATTATTCGTGTTTATTTATTTATATTTTTTCAAAAATATTCCAAAAAAAAAAAAAAATAGGTTACCCAGGTTTTTTTGGTGTAATTTTGGTTAAAACATTTGTTGACTTGAAATTTGGGCAGAAATATATACTTACTTTTTCTAGAGGTGACATTATTTTCAAAACATTTGAGTTATTTTTAATCTATTATATTAATAAATATTTTAATTTTGAGATTTTTTAATGTAATTTTTATTTGGTCGGTAATCTGTAGATAAATTGTTATACTTAACAGAAATGCTTTAAAATTTAACAGTCTTTGTGACTTTTGACAAAAGTCTTTGTGATCAAAGGAAAAAAATTTGAGTTTAATGTAGCATTTTTATATAAAGGATTTTTTTTAATATCAAATTTTGGCGAAAATGTTTTGAATATAAAATTATATGGAACAAATCTAGTTTTGCCTATGCAAATTTTTCAATTAGTTTTATTTTAAATATTTGTATATTTCAAATTTAAGAATAATGATGGTCAAAATTGAGCGTACAAACTTAGTTTCAAAATTATAGCTTTTTAAAGTTCTGATATTATGTGTTGTATTAATAAATAATTGAATGTTAATATTACAGTATGTCTGCTGTAGTCTAATGGTAATATATACCTGTTTTCAACCAAGGTCGCGGGTTCAGGTGAGATTCCAAAATTTTTTTTGCAAAACAATGTTGGGTAGGTAACAGGAAAAAAAATTGATGAAATTGAGTGTGATCAATTAAAATCAAATTTCAACAAAAATCATAATTATTACGGCTTTTCAATTCTTGTTTAATCGAACTTCGCTCCAAATCATTTTTCGTTATCAATGGTTTATCATTAGTCGCAAGTATAAATGAAATAACTTTTATGTATCCCACTTTTTCCACTACACACTTACAGCAGTGGATGTACCCGTTCCTCAGTCTTAGTTCTTTTTAAAAAAATATTTGTGTACTGAAAAGAAAATACTAAAAATTGAGAAGTTATATTTGTCTGAAAAAAAATTGTATGCTACAATAATTTTTTTTGATCTATTGTTCGACATATAGATGTACAAATGATGTATATAATGATGTTAGTGCAAGGTAAATGGACGGTTTGCAATTGATACATTGCTGTTGATGGACAAGTTTATTTATTTTTATATACATCTAATCATATACAGTGTTTCCCAAAATATATATAACAGTCATTTTCTATAGGCATATGAAAAAATAAATAAATGTTAAAATGCTTTTATTCTAAGAAAATATTTTTGAATTGAATTATAAAAGTAAAAAAAATTAAATAAAACTACTGCAACTAATATTACATACTTAAAAGTTATTGTATTTTTATTAGATACATGACACAAGCATATGAGATAAATCTATTTTACATACTTCTGGAGAAAATTGTAGTGTAATATTTTATTTAGAACACTTTATAGAGGTTATTCTTTATAATTTCTAAAAACTGACTTATAATGTCTAAAGTGATTAAATAATTACTGATCTGTAACCCATGATAATTATTTATAACAATGTTCTTTGAAAGTTAGTATTCATGGATTTATTCTAAGATGGTAAAAGTAAAAAAAAAAAAAAAATATATAAAAACTCAAGGTTACATCTTATCATTAATCGTGTGAATAATCATTAGTTCATTTAAATTTATAAGTCACTGTTTTTTATAATCTTGTTGTTTACAATGTACTATTTATTTATATATTTGTTTAATATACAATATTATTTAGGGATGAAGCAAGTTCAGGATATTTTAAAGAAGAAATACTGGAACATGTAAAATTTCATGGTCCAAAGTAAGTATTTTGTGTATTTTACTATATAAATATATAGTGTCTATCATATAAAAATATTTTTAATTTTTAGATTAATCAGTACAATTGAAAATTGGATTAAAATTTCTGAAAATGAATTAACTGAAGGTATTATTCCATACAATTGTATATTACAAATGGTTTTTAATGTAAGTTTTAACCATAAATACTAAAATACTCTAGTATTCATGGTTTTAACCTATGCCAGTAATATATGTTTTACCCATTCACATCTAATTTTAATACATATGAATGAAAAATGAATTGAGTAAAATATATTTGTAATATTTCTTTTTTAGATGAAAAAAATGTTCCTGGTTATCCATTGTTGCCACTTTCTAAGGGATTCTGCCTTTCTATCATCAAAGCCCTAAAGGATTACAAAGAAGTATTGATTTCCATGAATGTTATGTTCAAATAATCATAGGTTACTCTTGTTATGTTTTGTATACTTAATAAAAAAAAGTTAAAATTTACAATTCTTATTAAAAAAAACATTATTTCTCTAAGTCTTTTTATTATTATTTACATTAAAATGTCTGGCCAACAAATTTAAATTCATTAATTAGAAAAAATAAATTTGTTATAACTATTATAAGGGTATTTGAAAACCAATACAAAATTATTAAAAATGTAAATTACTTAGGTAAACACACAATTTTTAACTTAAGTAAAGTAAACATTGTAATACAATTTTATTCCATTTTTTCTATTGTTTAAATTATTTGCCCCATGTACATTTTTTGTAAGTTATTGTTATTTTGTTATATTGCCTTATACATATATGTTAGGCTTATACATAAGCCTAATATTATAGGCTTTTAAAAGTTGTAAAATTAAATATTTTTTCTACTTAATTATAGAAATAAAATAAATATATTTAAAAACTAATACTATTTGTTTTATTCATAATTTAATTTTTCATGCTGATATAAGAAACTATAACCACCTCATACTTAGGCTATAGATAGTATAGTTGCAAGAAAATTTGTAAAAGTTCTCCCCAAAAATTCATTCCTCGCTCCCAATGAATTCATAATACTTTAACTCGTAAACTGGTCAACACAATGTTATACATTGCTATCCAGTATAAATAATACTATCTACAGTCGTACTATTTACAACTTAGTTATAACTTCCATATTAATTTGTATAATAAGAATATTATACATTTTAATTTATAATAATAATTTATACTTAAATACTTAATTATATTTAATAGTGTTTATTAAAGCGTTAATAAAACTATTTGTTTTATTTGATTACAATACCTCTAACAATAATATTAATAAAATATTAGAATTCTTACTTTTTACATTTTAATATTGTTTTTATATTTGAAACTACTATATTAACTATTCTAGTAATTTTACTTATATTGTTTATTGAAAAACTGAATACATTATGATAGTCATTATGTATTAACAGATCAATATTGTGATAAATTAAACAAATAAAGAAAATACATGATTTAATTAGACCAGTGTAATACATCATTCATAGCATATCGATGAGTCCAATATCTGGCAATAGTATTATATGTTTTTCTGTCATTGTTATAGAGACGTGCAATATCAGGCTCCATGCATACATCACAAAACGGATCAGTTAATAATGACTGTATGGAAATCAATACCTTGGCAATGGTCAATGCTAGACTCCAATTAGAATGAAGTGAATCTAAACCAATATCTCCATGACGAGATACATTAGGATGAAATATTTTGGTTAAAAATCTGACAACTGGAGGAGTCATTGGGTAGCTAAAACAAAATAAATTATTTGATAAAAAAAAAAAAAATTATAAATAAGTAAACAAGTATAGCTTACCTGTACGGTATTTGTATGTATAGAAAAAATTTTCCTCCTTCAAAAGGACTACCAGCAGGTCCTATAATTGTAGCTTGCAAATGACACCAAAGACTATCCAAAAATATCGCTCTTATACCTTCAGGTGGATCAAACCTCAAATCTTATTAAAAACAACCATATTAATTATTTTATTAATATATAATATAAAAGATAGTAATTTTATTTTTCATCAATTGGCACCACTAACTTTTTACTTCATGTCGTAAACGTCTTCTTCTCCATACATTTTCTTGACATTTAGGATGAGGATGGTTAAACATTCGTCGTACGCATGATATACACGAGGAACTACTAATCCTATAATATTATTATATTTAAAACAAATATTTTCTTCCAACTATTGATTTTTAATAATTATTGATATACACACATTGATGAACTGATGTAGTACCAATCAAAAAAAGTTTTGTATGGTTCAAAAAGAGGCCAACACTTAACTGCCAATCTACGCCATGTTGTTTGCGGAATATGGGAACGTAACAATTGTTCCCAACGAGTACATACCTTACTCACGCACCAAAGACTAAAGTCATCCAAATATGAAAAAACAGTCAATAACACTGCAAAAATAAAAATAAAAAATAAATATATATATGACAGATTTCTAAGTTTAATATTATATAATACAATTTTTTCGTGGTAATCAAATGATTCTGTCGTTTTTCAACAATTAGGCATTATTTAAAATACTTTTTTTTTCTAAATAAATAAGAAATATTAAAACCTATTAATTATATATACATAAATTATTATAAATATATTGAAGAAAAAGCTGGATTTTTTAATTTATATACAGGAGACATATCCTTCTCTATCCTTGGTTTGACATACACTGATACACAGCTGGCAAAGTTCACTTTGATCACATATAAATACATTTTTTTTTAACTTCATTTAAAAATCATGAAACCTAAAATACAATAAAATAAAAAAATAATAAGTAAAATCAGACTATATCAGATTTTTCTAAAAAATTCAATCAAGTGAAATACAATTAACATCAAATGGAAGCAAGTTAAAAATTAAACTAAGTTTTAAATAATATAATAATAATTTATTGTCAAAAAACAGAAATTAAAACTTTTTACACGGCCCTAAAAATGTAGCTTATGGCAGCACCCACCCCAAATAACCTATTGCAACATTAATTTTAAGACTAGGACAAAAAATGAAAATTTACATATTAAATAGCATAAGAAAAAAAATTACAAAGTAATTTGATTTAAAAAAGTTATATTTGATGTAACAAAATTTCAAATTAATATTAAGCTTACACAAATAATACACAGACATTTACAATAGTTTTCCTACCCAAATCTTTATAAGTTATTAGTATATTCAAATCAACTTTGATTATGACATGTATGATAAGCATGAACAGCCCTCTCCAACCTTTTTTTTTTACAATGGGCCAAATTTGAAATACGCTTTGAGCTAACATTTATAAGAGTTGCAGATAGGTAATGAAATTAAAAAAATAGATAAGATTTATTTAGATTTTAGAAAAAAATTTATATTTTATTTTTATTTTTATAACTCAAAAATTTTAAAATGTATTTTGATAAGTTTTTTGATGAGAAGTATGAAATTGATTATCTTTTAAAATGTCTTGATAGTTTTACCAAACTTTTTGGTTCCAATCAATAACATGGGTTTGAAAAACCGAAAATAAAAAACTGGGAAAATCAGTACCTAAAGCATAAAACAAATATTATTAAAGAAAATATATAAAGCCTATTTAATTATTTTACTATAAAATGATATGTATTGTCAACTGAATGTCACTCAGAATCGTTTTTTTAGTTTTAGGTACATATTAAATTACCTATAACAGTGGTTGTAACCGCCCCATTATCCTAGTACATCTTTTTTCTATTAATTGTTTTGTGGTTAAAGCTAATTTAAATTTAAAAGCTTCGATGTAGATAAAATAATTTACGATTAATGTTTGCTACCATAAAAACAATAATGACATAACCTAATCTACTAATAACAATAACGACAGGATTTTTGTAATTTCTAGTTATTAGGAACAACTAATGAAAAACCATTTATTTTATTACTATAATTTTATTATTTTTCTGTTAGTAGTAAGTAAAATTAATAAATAAATAATATTGTGAAACATCAGTAAACTTGCCAGCTGGTTTGAAAAGCTTGATGGGCCGGAACCAACACATGGGCTGTAGGTTGGAAACCCCTGAGAGAATAATTTTTTAAGTCTAAGTTATAAATATAATTGAGTTCATTAAATAAATATTTCTTATATTAAAAGTTCTATAAAGATCAATTGAATCTAATCATACAACTTTCAAAGAATAAATCTCAAGGAGTTTAAAGTGATAATAATAGGATTTAGAGCTAGCTTAAATACATTTCCCCAAATTATATTACCATAACTAATAATAACTTTGGTAGTGTCAAATAAACTGTACGCAAAAACTTTAAAATAAGAATATTTTAAGTAACTTAAATTTAAAAAACAATTTTTGCACCATTATATGCAGAAATTCTTTACAGAACTGACCTAGTTTGGGAGAATTGTTATGATTTTGTTGTTTTATTATTTAGCATAATTTTGGAAAGAATTTGTGCATTCAGTCTGCTGTAGAACAAGGTTCAATAAGTAATTACTATCAAAGTCCAGACAATAAAACCATACTATTATAATAATAGCAATATTTTATTTTAGTACTAAAAAATATATTACAAATAGTATAATATTTAATATAAATACATACAATTACTATGGAAAATTTCAATTTCTGTCTTTAACCAATTTTCTGTTTGACTTAATAAGGTGTATTTTTTAATTTTAGTACATTCGACAACACCATGGTCAAAAGCCAACTATTTACCAGCACAAAATTTTAATTTATGACAATTATTAATCATTATCTTAATTTGATAAATATAATCATTTTATGTCGATTTTTTATTTTTAAATAAATATATAAGTTTGTTATGTAATTTAGTAAAAATAAATTGACAATTTAGATTCAAATACAGATCCCCAGTTTCCATAAAATGTGAGTCAATTTATACAGCTATATATCAATGCAAAGAATTTTCAATGGTAAAAAAAATAATAATTTAATTTTAGTCTCATGCAAAACAATCTTCTTTATTTCATGAGATTACAGTACAATTTTGAGTCTATAGGACTTAGTCTGCATACTTATAGTTATTAAGTATAAGAAATTTATCATATGCCTCAACCAAAATTGGTGGATGGGTTTTGAATGAACAGAGAAACAAAACTGTATAACTATAGAACAGTGAGTTTAAAGTAATAAGTTATAATAAGTTATATCGAGACGATACTTGGTAATTGGAACTTTCAAGTTTTCCTAGGAGGAAAAAAAAGCAAAACACACGTGCTCAATAACGGATTACCTCAGGGCTCAATTTTAGCACCAATATTGTTCAATGTGTTCGTCCACGATATGCCAGATACCACATCCAAAAAGTTCGCATACGCTGATGATACATGTATAGTGTCACAAAGTAAACGTTTCGAAGATGTTGAGAACCCACTTACTTCTGACCTTACTCTACTCGAAAATTTTTTCAAAAAATGGAGACTCCCACCAAACCCTTCAAAAACAGTAACAGTGTTCCATCTTAATAATAAAGAGGCCAATAGAGAATTAACAGTACATTTTTGTGGGGACACCATCCGTAATAGCAAGCTACCAGTATATCTTGGGATAACATAAGACCGAGCCCTCACAGTCAAAGCACACCTACAAAAGGTGGCAGCAAAAATCAAGACAAGAAATTGACTTATCAATAAACTGGCCGGCACAACATGGGGTTCATCAACACATGTATTGCGAACCTCAACTCTGGCGCTGACTTATTCTGTTGCAGAATATTGCACACCCGTCTGGGAAGGCAGTCAGTATTGTAGTCTAATAGAAAGGCATTGCGCAAAATTACTGGCACCGTTACGTGTACCAATAACCAATGGCTCCCAGTACTTGCTAACATAGAACCACCTCACTTACGAAGACAAAATTGCATACTCAGAGAAAAAGAGAAAATCAGCAAGTACCCAGACCTCCCGATCCATGAAGATGGACTAGAAAACCCAAGACTAAAGTCACGGAAGCCTTTTTTGATGAGAGCCAACGATATTGCCGACACAAGAAAACTCATACCAGATGCATGGCAAGAAGAATGGGCAAGAAAAAAACCTGGGGAAGGTGCACACCTCGAGAGCCCACATAACCTAATAGCCGGAATGAACCAATCGAGGAAAATATGGACCAGACTAAATCACACAAGAACTAGACAAGGGAGATGTAAGGATTTAATGCATAAATGGAAACTGAAAAACGACCCAAATTGTGATTACGGAGAAGGTGTACAGTCAATGAGACACATAATCGAAGAATGCTCGTTNGTTGGAGAAATTGGACATTGATTTGTGAAGAAAAATCCCCATTACGTATTGTTATTCCATTCATATTTTTATTTATATTTTGTTCTTACTTATTTTTATTTTCATTTTATTTACTTTAATCCAATTTATCTATACTGTCGTCAATATTGTTGTACTATGTTATGCATGTCATACGAATAAATAAATAAATAAATAAAGTAATAACTAATAACAATTTAGTCCGGATTTGTTCATTTAGTAGTAGTATAACTATAATCAATTGCTATACTTTAAGAAAAAAAAAAATGAATTTTCTACATGACTGACCAAAAGCATAGATACCATAATATAGATTTAATATTGCAATTAATACCTTCAGGAGGAAGTTCTTGGAAATAATCAGTATCGCCATCAAATGATTGAGGGCGTGGTACTGACATTTCTGATAGTAACTGAAGCCTTCGTGCTAGATCTTGTGATGGACCAGCTTGATCACCAGGTGCATCAGATGGAACATCTTGAACAGGTCTTTGAAAGCCATTGTAAAAAGAATCTGCTGGTTCATCATTTCCACTATCACCATCTTCAACTCCCTCCATATTTATAAAAATAAAATGAATTACATTATTCGTTTTACATTTCATAAGAAAAACACAGTATATAAACAAATAATGGTAGGTATAATGAGCGTATGTGATGACGGAATAGTTATAATAGACTAAAATTACATGAGATAAGAGTCATTCATTAGCAATAGATTCAATAAATAATATTAAGCACTAGTCAAATAAAATTTAAGAAATACACTGTAATTTTTTTATTATATGTGTAATGAATCACCTATAAGAAATGAATTAACAATAAATGAAAAATATAAAAATGTTAAGTAAATTGAATTTAATCGAAACAAGGATTTCATCCTTATCGATAAACAATACTATTTGTAAAAACTATTTGAATTTGTAAAATTGTTAACATTAATATAGTTAAATAAATAAATAATTTTATTTTTATTATTAATGCACAAAATTCTAATTAATTGAACTCAAAATATAAAATAAAAATCAAATTGTTAAAATGTTATTTTTTTTTAGAACTTAAAAAGGCTAAGTTCAATTACAAGTACCTAGTACATAATAATAATAATTAAATAAAAATCACTCATATTTACTACAATGTATATTTTTTATATTAAATATACTTATTTATATATGCATGTTATTAAAAAATAATGTAATACCATTGTCACCTGAACATGATCTGGAACATTATGAGTTAGTTCTTCAGAAAAAAGAAATAAATGACAAGTTTGACAAATATGTTCATCAAAACATGATCCATAATAACCATTGCATACATAGCAAGAAGGTGATTTCTAAAAAAAAAATAATACAATTTTAATTAAATCTTACTTGAATGGAAAACCACTTCTTTACCTGTAAATGGAAGTATATAGATACATTGTTCTGACTATCTCCATCACGCCCGTCCATGGTGTTATACAAATTTGTGTTTATTGTATACAACCATACAAATTATAAAATTCAAATATTATAGTTTAAAGGAAAACTATTAACCTATTAAGGTTGAAGTATGGATTATATTATAAAGAATATAGATTTTACAAAAATTCAAGACTACAAAACTCAGTAACTAGTTAATAGTGACTATTAAAAAAAGTGTATATTTTATCAAAAAGATAATTTCCTTATCAATTATCATAATTGTGTATGAATCATAAATATCTTTTCGTGTTACCGAGCAAACTGGAACGGCGCTCTGCTGTGCTCTAGCGGTTAAAATATAACTAAATAATATTTGACATTTTGATATCAATAATCAACATTCGTTCAACCTTTTTGAAGGTTTTTTTCCGGATTCAGTTTGAAATATTACCAACATTGAAAAAAAAATGTTTGTGTATAGTCTGTCCCAGGAGAGAAAGGTCCGCTTTTGCGCATGTTTTCCCCCTCCACATAGCCGATTGTCATTTCTTCCGTCGTCGGTTTATGACTATACACCGCTAAGATATTTTATAGAAATTCAATTGTCATTATTATCAGACATTGCGCATCGCACGTTTATTTACCTTTGCTGTTTTATAACCTCTTGATAATTTTTCAAATCGTAAACTATCGTATATACAAACACCTTCTATAATAATCCAGACTTTNGTAGGTATAATACAGAGATATATATTTAATAAATAATAAATAATTATATTAAAACATTTCATTTTTTATTCGTTAAAATTACAATTTATCATTTTTGTCATATTGGCGATAAACAGTGGACTATCGACAGACAACAGTGCATTATTTGAAACGCAGTGTACAAAACCTGTCGATAGATCCGGGAGGGAATAAATGGATAGTGTTGCGGCGTGGGGATGCGCAGTAGCGCTTCGATTTGGTCGAGAGCGGACCGTTCTCTCCTGGGACAGACTATAGACATTTTCATTATCAACAAAAAAGTATCATTAATGTATTTTAATTTTAGTGTGTCGATATTCTTTTTAAATTAATTTAAGTATACATATTTTAATAATTTTTGTACTATGAAGCACTTGAATATCTGATTGATCACAATTACTTGTTGCCAGGTTAGGATTTATAAAGCCAAAATATCTAGAAAGGTTTTTTTCATCTATCCGAGCTATTACAAAGACATTAATTTACCAGTATTTAAGAATAATAATCAATTTACTTTTTGCAGAAAGTAATTAATGATATTATTAACCATGTAGCTTCATTGTTCGTAAACTAACAATTAAATAATTTATGATGATTGCTCTAAAATAATAACTTGAACCCATTCTGAATTGGGATCATAAATAACCAAGGTGGATTAACTATTCACTAGTAAATTCATAATTTATTATACATATTTTATGAGTATTAAGTGTTAAATTACTGCATATGCAAATTATTTTTTTACGTTGGTAACACCTCTAATGCAAAAATTATTATATCATTTTCGTTATTAATTTTCCGCCAACTACCCTAAACCCGTTTAATAGGTATTGTAACACTTTTTACTGTAAAAGTTAATAAAACAATAGTTACGGATGATTAGTTTGACGTCATATTATCTGATAAAAATCCTTATCAAGTACGATTGTATCCAAATAAATAAAAATGTACATACAAATGCAATGAAAAGTAACTTTAAAATTATATTTTATATTCTACATTTTAAGTACTTTTTATACTAATTTTATTCTGAAAAATCTCATTTAAATTATCTCATGTTTAATAATCGTCAAATCTTAGTATGTAAATACTCGTATATTAATATAATACGAGAGTTCAAAAATATATCTTGCGTTTTTAATTGTACAATTAAATTATTTGGATCCTAAAAATGAAATTATTACTGATAACAGTTTGATAAGTGCATGACGTAAGAACTAATCGTGTGTAATACATTTTTACCATCTACAGTGTTGAAAACATTTAGGAGCATAAACCAGATAATTCCAGACAACTTTTTTCATTGTCTCCTATTGTAGGTATATGAATGATCGGATTTATCTCATTCTTGTACATATAAATTCGTAATTTTTTTCTTAATTTTAATCCCCCGAAATCCCATTTTTGAAAAAAATGGATTATCTTGTTATTGTATCCTTTCAATTGATTAGTATTGTTTAAATTTTGAAATTAAAACGATATTGGTCTATCGATATTTTCGGTTGCCACTTGCATTCTTGCCTTGATATATTGTTGTCATCCCTACCCATTATTGGGCGGAGCTTGACTGTCATGGTAGTCACGGGCCAGGGGGATTACTGTCGTGTTCGACCGTCGCGTACTCTACTATTTCATTTTTGTTCTTTTTCATCACCTAATAATGTTCATTCTGCTGATAGGTCATTTTCATTCGCCATTTTCCCGTTTGTTCGATTTTCTGTAAACGTTAAAAGCTCACTCGAATACTTGTTATTAATTTCAGAAAATCGATTGAAGAATAAGTTGTATCAGATCTATATAAACTTTTTATTTTGGTTTATCACTTTTTAACGATGTTTGTACGCGTCTTCCGAGATTTGTGTCGACAAACGGGTTACTCAAACGAGCACAATGTCGTTCGCCGTTGCTTACACGTCACACAGCAAATGGAAAAGAATAGAGATCGTCGGAGTTTCCTGGCCTCGGTTCCCCGTATAGACGAAGGCACTGAGGGTGAAAAATTCGTTTATATAGATTCTGCAATCACCAAGTGAGTTATTCTTACCATATAATTAATTCCACATATGATGTATTTTTTTATTTTCTACATGTCGACGCCATTTTTTTTCGGCTCTTGTCGTTGAATACGGAATTTATTATAAGAAATCGTGTTAATTTATTAAGACTAACTAGAAAGTTCTATTTTTTTCGAGGAAAGAAGACATGTTTCCTGATATGAACACTTCTAATATGCTTTTTGGTGGAATTAAATTTTCAGACATACCTATTTGTCACATTAAATCATCCAAGAACAATACAATTCTACATGTCACAAAGCCTTCTGGTAAGTTATCATTTTTTTTTCAGAAGTTTATTTTTAGATTTGCAAATTTATTATTATGAGTACCTACCTTAATTAAATATTCAGAAATTAAGCAATAAAAATGAATGATGTTAAATCCACCCTACCAATATATATACGTATTTTAACTATTAGGTTAGGTCATAATAAACAATTTTGTTTAATATTTTCATTTATAGTTATTTTTATGAAAGCTTAAATTTCCTTTAAATGGAGTGGATAGTACCATATTTTAAATTTAATATCTAAGTAATTACGAAAATTTGTTTTACTAAATTATAGTGTATACTGGGTCTGACAATACTTGGTTGCTCACTGCACAGTAGTTTTATGTGAACTAGAGGTCATATTTTATCTAAACTTAAAAAAAAAACATGTTTTAGACATTTACCAAACAAGGAGTATTCTCTTCAGTTTTCAACTGTGCAAAAATGTTCATATAGTAGACCAAGTTTACTAATTACTATGGTTAACAAGATATTGTAATTTTATCATTTTTGGATAGAATTTGTAATAAAACATGTAGTTTATAACAGTTGAAGTCTGGCTCTTGGGGTAAAAAAAAAGTGAAAATATTGAAAAATATCAAATGCATTTATTTTCCGTGCACTCCTGACCAATGATCCGTAGTTAAATTTTTGTTTTTCTTATGTCATGCCGACATAGAATGAGTTTAAAGGTGTGCATTTACTGACTTGAAAAAATTGTATTATTCACAGATGCTGTTTGATCTCTGGGTCAAAACTAAACGTAAAAGTATCTGACAATTTTATAGTGGTTTTATAGTAGTATAGTGTCCAATTTTAAACTTCAAACAGTCAAAAGTTTGATATTTAAATTGTTTAACCCTTTCAAACAATATGGCTTTTTTTGGGTGAATTTAGAATGTTAATTCTAACTAAAGAATGTTGATAAGGTAAGGAACTTTTAAACTTGTCATCTTCAACTTGTCTCTGCAAGAAATGGAAAAATCGAAAATTCTACCACGAAACATTGACAAGACGGCATGAAAAGTATTTCTATTTGGCGTTTTTCAATATTTTGACCCTTTTTTTTTTTTATGCAGTATAGTGCCTAGGTAACAACTGTTCTGATACGAATGAAACTTAATTCTTTATATATAATATATTGTTTGTTAAATAAATGTTGGTATCTTTTTTAACTTGAATTTTTATGTAGGAGAACGAATTATGATCAGGTCATGTGGCATGGAAGGATTTAAAAATACAAGAAAAGGAACTAATATCGCAGCTCAAGCTACAGCTATTGGTCTTGCTACTGTAAGTAATTTTTATTTTTGAAGTATAATAAGTGTTGCCTATACAGTCAACAATTTCATCTTCAAAAATAAATAAATAAATATTGGGTATGCAACTCTGTTTCAAAAAAGAAGGCTATAATTATTTTTATAAGTCCCCGTATCGAATATGCTTGTTGCGAGGCTTTTAAAATCCTTTGTTTTGTTTTAAGACTATGTAGGAATTTCCGGTCTAGTTCATTCTTTAAGACACTATATTGTGCTCTTGTATGTCGTATTTTTGAGTATGGTGGCGTTTATTAGGATCCTCACAATATCAGACTCCTTGAAGCTGGAAAGGGTTAATAAAAATACGTAAGGTATGCTAACTTAAAACTAAAAATCTTTTGTGAACCCCATAATTATAACTATGAACCAATTGCATTGCACCTTAGTTTAGTTTATTTACTTAAGCATACGTTTTGGGGCATTAAGTTCTTGGATGGATTGTTACGTGGTAATATTGACTCGTAGGAATTACATTCCTTCATATGTTTCAAAGTACCTCAATGTTCTCACTGTGTTGCTTCTTTTTATGTTCCCCTAGCCACCTGTGGACCCAATGAACCTATCTTATGTATGGTGGCCAATGCCAATGTAGACTGTGCATACCTTTTAAACCTTTTTTTATAATTATTATTTAGCTGCTATTGATACATTAATGTCTCAAATTTTGTAATTATCAATGCATATATATAATATATTATTTCCTTAAGGGTTATACCGTAAACTTATAGAAATAAAATAAAATAATTTATTCTTAAACAGAAGCAAAAGAGAGTAATATTTATGGTAAGCAATACCTATGTATAATGCTTCTAATATTGTATACTAAATATTGTAACGCTAAATTGCACACCTATGAAATTAATTTTGTTCATAATAAACATTATAAATCAGTTGAAAACTAAGCAGTAGTAATACCATTCTATAAAGAAACCAAATTTTAGATATGATATATTTATAATTTATGTTTGTAACTACTTTTTCACTTTGTAATAGCCATTTATTACATTAAATTTATAAAATATACATTTTTATTTCAGAGGGTATTAGAATTGGGAATTCATACAGTTCGTGTAACAATTCAAGGATTAGGACCAGGAAGAATGGTAAGAATATTATCAATTTTATCAATGGGCTTAGTGGTGTGGTGGGACACACCTACTATTAAGAAGCATATTTTTTTCAGTATTTTCAATACTTGTTTCCGAATTGATACTCCTGGGATCATTATAAATAATTAGACAGTACTTTTTATAACTACAACATTATCATTTTAGACTTATAATAATCTAGTCATTAAGATGAAGTAGTTCACGCATAAATCACTGTTAAATACGTTATTTTTATCATTTACCTAGAATAAATTGTATTTTTATTTTAATCTTATTTTAAATTAAAATTAGATTTTGATGCAATCAACAATATTTTATAGTTTCATAGTTAATTCAAAGTTTCATTCATATTTATTTAATTATTTTTCAAATATAAGTGCCAAATACCTTAGGGCTTTATAAAATTATTTTAATTTAATTGAACTGAACTATTAATTTGTAGTTATTTTTTTGTTTGTGAAAAGAATGGATATATTATATAAGATATTTAAGAAACATTATTCACAATAAGTGAATGTTACAAACCATTATTTAAAAAAAAAAAAAATTGAATTCTATAAAATTACACAATTAATTTATAATCCAAATCGCCTGTATCTGGTTTTTTTTTTTTTTTTTTTTTTTTTTTTTTTATCATTTTGTATTGGTGCTACACAAAAGCTTATTTATATATAATATATAATATTACTTTTTTATCTTAATCTTTCTAGATTTTACTTTATTATTTTTAAAGTATTCTTTATAGTGTATTCTTGTTATTTCCCCATTTAATTAAAATTTATTTTTCTATTTCAGTCTTCAATTAAAGGTCTTACTATGGGTGGTTTGAAAATTATATCCGTCACAGATGATACACCAATTTCATGGAATCCATTAAGACCAAGGAAACAACGGAAATTATAATTATGTAATTATGTAAGTAAAACTACAATTAGTTATAAAGAATATGTTATTATAATAAAAGTGTAAACAAATTTATTAACGTCTAATAAATGTTATTAATTGTGATAAACAATTTAACCAATTATTTTGTTTTTAATTTTTGATTAAATCAATTTTATTTATTTTTATTAGTGGTTAATTTTTTTGTAGTAAAAAAATATAAATATTTCTATCTCGAAAGAAGTATACAATTATTTTATTAAAATCAAAGTATTATTATTTTTGCTTTTTTTTTTTGAAAATGGCAGATATTTCAATATTGAAGCTATTGAGATTAAATTTGATTATTAGATAGCAAATTTATGTATTTAAGATCACTTCTGCTATTATTGAACAAATTATTTTTTTAAGGAATTTATATGAATCAATACTATGGTATTATTAATTAGCTTTTTATCTCTCCTGTTAATATTTAGTATATATTGGTCTTCATTAATAGAAAATCTATACTCAGATTTAAGATATTTGTATGTATTTTCTAAAAGTTATGTGGAGCATTTGGAACCAGGAAAAATGTTAAATATAATAATATTACGTTATTTATATTTCATTGGATTATTTAAATAACCCTTTTAAAAATAATTATATCATATGACAAACTTCGCACCTAATATAACAGGACACTATTTTATATGTAGATGAAAGATTTCGGAGTAGTTTTTTTATTTAAACATTTTTCCCAGTCCCAATGTCATGAATCAATCAGAAAATGTAAAAAAATTGGATGTTGTCACAGATTTCTTATCTATGAGGACATGTAACATATGTTTTACATTTTTTTTTTTTATATATATATATACTTTGCTATAAAAAATAGCAATGAAAATACAGTTTTTAGTGAAGTTATTTTTTAATGGAATAAAACTTTTTTTTAAAACTTATGCATTTATTTGGTTTCTATTATTTTCTCTATAAAATACTGCACGTTTTATTCTCCCCCTTAATGATTTTTTGTTCGGCTGCTATGAAATATTAAAGAGGGGAAGTCTAAAATATTGTGGTAAAATGTAAATCATGTGTAAACCATACTATATAAATTACAGTTCTATATATTCCGAATTTCATGGAAGAAAAAGAAGCTCAAAAATTATTTTCTTAACTATCCCTTTTGGATGTGTTTCATTAGTTTTTTGATATTTAATGTATAGTATATCGATTGAATATTTTTAAGTAATCTAGATTAAACTGTTAGATATTTTTTTTTTTTTCTAAAAAAATACACTTTTGGTTAATTGATTTTCGTTTCCAAGCATTCCATATTGTCGACGTCATACGTTCAGTGGATATCGCGTTGCGGTTGGGAAGGGATGGGTTGTGCTCTGCGGGGGTACCACTACTTCTCCGTGTAATCTCTTTACGCACAAAATGGCCGCTCATTGTTTGTCTCTTACCGTTTTCCGCACGCTCGTACTTGTTCGTATCTAAATCTTTATCGGCCTCAGTTTTTATTTCCTTTGCCGAAATTAAATTATAACACCCGCTCTATTATCGAATATCTTAGATTTTCACGTTAAGAACTTGCAGTAATTGTGCCCAAACGCGAAACGCACACGCTATTTGCCGTGCCACTTCACCTCCTCACCTTGACTGCCTAATGTTGGCTGTATTTAGGTGAAACGACGGTTTTTTTTTTATAATTTTTCTTTTATAACAAACGGTTTTGTAAATTTATAAAATCTTATAACTCTTGTATAACCCTTGGTTACTTTTTTTATTAATACTAAAGTGCAACCTTATAATTCTCAAGACTGTTTTAGCCACACAAAATGCACCAGGTAAGAAATCAGCTCCTATTTATCTACCTACCTAAATTATTCTATTAAATTTTACGATTTATTTTTATGGTATTATCCGATTTAGTATTAATTATTTATTTATCTAGTTAATCATTGAAATTATAAGGCCTTATTGTCATTTAATACAAACTAATAGGTGAGTACTACAATGTATTGCATCTACTAAGCAAACATACCTACCCTTAAATGTTTTAAAATTTATACAATTTGCGTAATTTCTGCAATATTATCTAATAATTCTACTTTATTTATAAAATATTACAAATATAGTGTCTAATTAGTAGGTATTGTAGACTGTTTTTTCAAACTCTTCTACCCATCATTCATATTGATCAGTATACCCTTCAATACTTTCAATATAACATTGGGGTAGTAAAAATGGTTGGACAGTTCATTTCTCTTTAGTTATAAATTAACCACAGGCTAACTTATTTAAGGACATATAAAACTTAAAAATTTGAGTTGGACCCATTTTCAAAATTTTATGTCAAAGTTAGTGTTCATAGATGAAAAATGGTTTACATGACATTATTTTATTTTTATTTTATCGTGTTAATATTATATTTTGACTGTGGAGTATGCTTATTAACATTTGTTGAAGGTGAAATATAGGTTGTTAATACAGTTCTTCAATTTTGTTTTTTAGGACTAGGTTATTCTATTATTTAACATTTTTGTACTATTCTAAGTAAAATATATAAACTAGGTATTCACTATACATCAATATTTACACTATAATGAGTTATTATTTTTAATTTAATACTCTTATCTGATATTAATTTATCAGTATAATAATAATTATTGTTATTATTATAGTAGTATTTTATCAAATTAAAATTTTTTTCATATACTCTTTTTACGCTAAATTATTAAGTATATATTTGATCTATTTGTAAATATAATAGGTATACCAAGTTAACTTGAAATGGTATTGTGTAAATATATTATATCTATAATTATTATGCATAACATATTGCTTTCATATTCCAGGATATTATTTATTATTTTGAGAAATTAACTGAAGAATTGACTATAAAATAAAATATCCATACTGTCGTGTTATCAAGCTGCCAAACTCTTTATTGTTTTTATATACCATACACAGGATTATTCATTGACCTAGACATACACCTATACACCTAGACTAATTTAATATTTTGATAGTAGTGTAGCTCTATTGTTAGAACTTACCTATACCCAACTTTGTGTTGCTCATCACTTAGGTTTATTTTTCAATTAATATTATATATAGAAAGAAAATTGATACTAAATATTTAATAGTCATTATTACAAAATAAATTTAGTTATTAAATGTTTTAAACATTACATTACATTTAGTTGTGTTTCACATAACAGATTAGTAGAGTTAGTTTGTATACAATGTGTATATATATGCATAATATATTTATATATTTGAATTTAACATCCAAATAAGTAATTAAAATAAAGACATGATGAAATATTTCCAAAGAACATAATTTTGTGTTTAGGTTCTTTAAGAACTTTATTACTATCTATGCATAGAAATTATTAACATAAAACAATTAAGACAAAGTTAAAAAATATTTGATTAATTGAAAATATATTATATATCTACAATTTTAATAAGTAAGTTGACATTATTTAAAATATATATTTAGAGTATCTTACTGTACTGCGATTTATATTTAATGATACACTGCTGAAACCAGATCGTAAATCACTGATTAACATTATATACACCAGATTCTTGAATACTAAGACTTCCCAATTATTACCAAGATTTCCTACATAATTAATAATAATGTATTTTATTGTAACCAAACATATATATACAATGAGCAAGAAATTATTAAAGATTTCCATGATTATCAAACATTTGTACACTTATATTTGTTAGTGATTTACTCTTTGCCTTAAACAATACTTAAACAAATAAAAAAAAAAAAAAATGATTTAATAAATAAATCCTCTCAAATTTAAATTGTTTAAATGGTGGTTTACACCATTAGTTTACAAGAATGGCGATGGATTTTGGTAATTAATATAATTTTTTTTAATTTCTAATTGTCTCTGAAATATTAGTTAAGTATAATTTCACCTGTAACATAACCTGAGTACTTGTATAAAAAAAATGTAAAAATAAAATGACCAAACTATTATATTTTTATAAGTTGCTGAAAGATTAAAAATGGGTAGTTAAAATTTATTTCATTGCATATATTTGAAATATAATATATACATACGTTCACACATTTTCATAGGTAAAATTTATAAAAATTGTTCTATAAATAATAAGTACTTAAAATATGAATATCTATGAACACTTGGTTTGATGGCTAAATCATCATAAGTATCATTAGATAAGATAACATCTTTAGTATGGAATTTAAATTACAGAATGCATCAGAAGAAGATTCATCAGATTCTGATCAAAATAATGAAAAAAATGTGGATTCATCATCTTCATCAAGTTCTGAAAGGTATGTAAATAAAGTTTGTACCTATATATGTAATACAACTTTTAAAAGATTATGTATAATACTGTTTGAATGACAATTTAAATTATAAAATTATGTATTGGGTGTTTGTTTTTGTTTTAATTAGCAAAGAATTCAAAATGTAAGTTGTTACATTATATGTACCACGTGTAGGCTACTGTTACATTTGGAGAGATAATAAATTTGAATACCAAAAGCAATAATAAACTTAAAAACTAAAATGATTCTGAATAAAAATTGTTTAACTGGCTACCTGATTTAAATTTATATGAAATTATTTGATTTGTTTTGTTTGACCAAAGAACCCATAAACTTAACCTTAGAATCTTTTAATTAAACCTAACTCAAGAATTTTTAATTTATCAAAGTATCCGAATTACTTTTGAAATTTATTATAATTATATAAAAAAAAATTTAAAAAGGTTATTAGTTTTATTTCATAATAATATTGTATATATAAAAATCTTCCAGTCCCAGTTTTACTGACCTCCTCCAAAATAACTTGACCAATTTTCATGAAATTTTATGTATATATTTGGTAGGTCTGAAAATAGGCCTTAAAGTATTTTTCACCCTCCTACCACCATCCACTATTTTTGAACAGCGATTAGTTGTTTTTAATACACCAATTTTCTGTAGTAATTTTCTTTTTATAAGAATTTTAATGTTAATAATTTTGACAAAAATCCTAAATATTATGGACTTCAAAAATATACGTAATTGAACTGTGCTCAGAATCGTTTTATGTTGATAATGATTAATTGCTACGTACAGATATTAAAGTCCCCTCTATATTTATCCTTCCTACCAACTTCTCACCCATCATGAAAAGTATGTCATTTTGTTTTATTATTATTTATGGTTGAATAATTTGAATTAACTATCTATAGTCTATGGTATAATAACATTTTTGTATTCATTTCATGGCACTACATGAGATGCTTGTTTCCTATGAGATAATTCTATATATTATACCTTATTCAATATGAAGTATCTAATAGCGTTTTCCACCTAACTGCATCGTTGTATCTAGGGCGGGCAGGTTATATTGCTCGAAAAACTATCCAGTGCAGTTGAATCATGAATCATATGAAACATAATTTTTACAGATTATAAAGTATAAATATTATAATATTTATTTTGTCAAAAAAAAAAAAAGTTTACTAGCAAAGTGGATTAACCCACCTTTTTATTAGTATTATTAGTATTATTAGTTAAAATTATATTATTATTTAAACATCGAGATTAGCATCTTTATCAATAAAAGATAGGGCCCACAAGTTCGTACGATTATCACTGCATTTGGGGCAAGAAACTGGTAGAGTGCGCGCATGTGAAACATAAAAATCTGCTCTTAAACGTGCCCCAGTATTCCATAAGGAAAATATAAATGTACACTAGTGCAGTCTGATTGAAAACGCTATAAGTGAGAGTTAAAGTAAAATGATAAAGCGGGAATAAAACTGATAATAGACTAGGTTACTGGGGAATAGACATAGTTTTGTTTTTTTTGTTCTAATTTATTATTAAAAATCAATGTTAATCAGTTGTCAATTATATTTACTAATTTAAGTACATATTATTGAGAATAAGAAACGTAACAAAATGATAAGTAAAGAAATATTGAGTGTCTCACAAAGATATACCAATTGTATTATATCTGTAAATAACAAAGATAATCAAATTCTGGTTTTGTTACTCCCAAGGATAAGGACTTATTTATATTAATTTTCATGCTTTGATAAAAAAAAATTTTTATTTTATTATTATTAAAAAAATGTATTGAGTTTATTTTTCTGAAAATTTTAATGTGTCAATTTTTTTATTCATTAAATTTGTGATTTTTAATATTTTTTGTATTCAACGAAAATTACCTATACTTATGCAATAAGCTGTAATCACATTCTCTAATTGAATATAATTATTGTTAAGATTAATTAACTGTTCAATTATTTTCTCTGAACTTAAAAAAAATTATTAAAATTCACGAATTTAATGAAAATAAATTTGACACTGCAACATTTTCAGAAGGATATACTATAAATTGGCTTCATTCAAATTTTTCAAAAATAACAAAATAAAGTTATTTTTAATTTTTTACTGAAACATAAACAATTAATTGCAATATAAATATTTGTAGTCCTTATCAAATTGTGCAATATAAAAAAAAAAAAAATGTTTTATCTCTAAAGATATTACAATGAGTATATCTTCGTAGGACATCAATATATGGTTTTTTTTTTTTATTAAAATATTAAGTGCATTAAATAAATGTATTGTAATAGATCCATACACCATACAGGAAACTATTGCATATGTTATAGGCCAGTGATTGCCAAGCGGTTGATTGCAATCGACCGGTAGATCGCAGATTATTTAAATGTCGATCTCTGTTAATGTTAGAGTTCATTTTTATGTAATTAGTAGATAAATAACAATTGCTGATCATTTTTTTCTTATTATATTATCTTTATTTTGTTGTAAATTTATCAAATAATGCAGTTCAACAGAGTTTATCCTGGCAATTTTACTTACAATAATATTATAATAGTGTTAATAATTGTGTGATGAAAAACATTATTTAACTATACATTTTAGTTTTATTTATAGGACATGTATATTTATTATTAATATCTATTAGGTAATTTATAATTATACATTTTTGTTGTAAGGAAGTCAATCCTCAAAGGAAAAATTAGTATATCTACCAAAAACAAGTTTGGCCATTTCTGTTATAGACTTGATCTAGTGCAGTGGTTCTCAACCTCTTTATATCCGCATACCATTTGCACATTTTGAACATTTTTCACAACCTTGTCACGATTATTAGACTTTTCTTTTACTAAAAAAAATTGTGTGGTTTTATGAAACTTTTTATTAT